CTAAGGGCCAAACTGAACTAAAGGCGGTTAACATTTGATCCGAGAGGAAATAGAAGTTGGTGAATCATTATTTCATTCACAAAAGAGTCCCTGTAATCAGACTGAACAAACAATTACTTCTGCTTAGCAGGTATAATATTCAACAAAGACAATTCACATTAAACTTACTCGTGCACAAAATATTTAACAAATATCGACCCTTTCTGTGATTGAACAAGGGCAGAACAAATTATATGGGGTATGATAGGTATGAACACTTAATTCATCGTACTATAGTATAACAATTTTTATTTAAATGTGACTCACTTGCGAATTGCATTGTGGTCGGCCAGCAATAACGAATATCTCGCAAGTGAGTCACCCTCAAATAAAAATTGTTATACTATAGATAACAATTATACAGTATGGGACAAATGAAAGGAACACAACACATTGATTACTTATTTTGTAACTTGTTGACTTTTGGAAAAAATCCTTTTATCTACTCCAATTAATTTATATATTAATTATTCAACTGCTTTTGAGCAATTAATAGTATCAATAAACAAATAGCGTGAGTTTTAATAGTGAGTTATTATAACTCACGCCGGGCTCCTAGGATAATTCGGTATGTAAATAGTGTGCGCAGTAAATTGTTGGAAATTTTAAAGTCGATAAATACGTCTCATTAACGTAAAATGTTAGAAAGATTTTTTAACAACTGAAAAGGAATGAATAATTAAATGATTTTAAAACTATTAAATTGTCAACGCCTCTCAGTAGGCGGAAGAGTCAATTATTACATTGAGGGGAGTAATGTCATTTGATATTTTAACAAGATAATTTTGACGTTTTCAAATCAATTTATAATAATAGTGCTAAAAAAAGATGAATTTAGATAGTGAAGATGAGTTATTTTGTACACCTCCAGAAATAAGAGAGATAGCTAATAATGCAATACAGAATTTATTACCAGAAAAATCAAAAAACAAGTATGAAGGTGTATACTAAAATTTTCAAGATTGGGTGTAACTCGTTTACAGAAAATGTACCTTTGGCATATTTTAATGAACTTGGCAATAAATATAAAGCATCTTCTTTATGGACTTTCTACTCCTTACTAAGAAGCACACTCAATATAAATAATGGAATTAATATAGAGAATTATTCAAAATTAAGTGCGTTTCTTAAACATCAATCAGAGAAATATATAGCTAAAAAGGCAAAAAAATTTACGCCAGAACAACTTAATAAATGAAGCTCCTGATGAGAAATATCTGGCGACAAAGATAATAGCTTTTACAAAGATTCAAACGTTTTTATCATCTAGTCAATTATATAATTCTTTCTCGATACTTGTATCTTAGTATTTATTGTTATAGTCGTAGATAAAGTATAGCATTCAACTTGCGGTAAAGGTCATAACTCGCTTGATTAATTACAGCACTAGCCTACGGCTCGTGCTGCAAATTTCATATGCGTGAGTTATGACCTGCATTACCGCTTGTTAAATAATATACTATTATTCATGACGTCACCTGTGTGAACATGATGATGTTATTGATGATTTTTTAAATTGAAATGTGGTTCATGCGATGCATCACTTAAAAGGTATTTTAATTATCTATTCAATTAAATCAATAATTTTAAGTAGTAATTTTCGACTCTTTGTTGTAAATACTCAAAAGTAATTGAGTAAGAAGGAAGAAAACGGATTCTCTCTTTCTCACAAAGTTATTTATTAGCGACCGGTTTCGAAGTAGTTACTTCATCTTCAGGCACACCTTAATGGATAATTATGGAGTCAATGAATTGTAAAGTGAAAGTTTTTAATAAAAAGAAAATAAAAATTGACCAAAAAACAATAAATAACTAAGCGTGAAAAAGTTGATAATAATCTGACTCGACATAACATATCCATTACGGATTAGCTACAAGGCAAACATAAAAAGTAAGAGGGTCACTTTGTCTAAATGCATAGAACATTTTTTTAATTAAAAAAAAAGAGAAGTTTCCTCTTTAAGTTGGAATAAACAAAAGTTCCAACAGTTAATTTAAAAATAAAAAAACTACAATAAACAAATACGAAGGCTTAAGCTAAAATTAGATTTATATCATAATAAAAAATATCAAAAAAAAAATGATACAAGTTGAACAATCAAATTTTGACAATCGGATCTATCTAATGTTCCCTGAAAATAAGTATAGTTGGTCTTGTGTAAGACTACATTAAAATAGAGGTAAATATAAAGAAATTATAAATAAACTAATAAAAAATATTTATAATAGAATAAAAATACCAAGAAAATTATGATTGTATTGTACTATATTTGAACTAGGCAATCAAAAGAAAAAAATACTGTTACAGAAAATGGAAATTTGGTGGTATTTAAGTAATACAGTTGTTTCTGAAAATGACTGGCACGTAGGCAAGAAGTATACGAATATGAGAAGTGAAAAAACTTGTTACAAATAACATGTAACATTTCAAAACATGTATTAGAATCGAAATCGTGTCCAGTGTCTAAACGGTGCCATGCAAAATGAGAAGAGTCCATGGTGTTAGTAGTGTTAAGGCAACGTGTTGTGTTCTTTGAGACGTATTTTAAAATTATGATAGGCTCTATCGACTTAGGAGCAAGGGCATCTCTGTATCTGTAACGTGTGGAGACTGGGTTACCCCCACGGCACTTAGGCCTCACTAGGCCCATTGTGTATCCTCCTAAGATGATAGGCCCCTCCTAGCTCGTGAACCAGCCTACAGATTTAATGTAGTTGACAACGTCGCCAAGAGGTGCTTCTCTTATATCGGCCGGTGTTAGCCAATACTCGCCGAACACAAATCTTCTAAAAATGAGAGCGTCGAGCAATCGTAAAGGATATGCTCGATGGTCTTATCTTGTTCGCACCTCCTGCAGAATTCGGATACTGACAGCCTCATGATATGAAGATGCTTCCGTACTTGGCAATGACTAGTCAGAATGCCTGTGACTAGGCGCAGATTCTTTCTAGTCATAGTCAAGTATTTGTTTGCCGCACTGTTGTCAGAATAACTTAAAAGCTCCCTGGCAACTTTGCAGTTTCTTGTTTCATCCCATCTTTCCTTGAATTTCACAAGGGAATGTTCTTTAATTAGGTCTATCACTGTCGATTTTGTCAAGTCAATAGATGGGCTAGGTCCAAAAAGTATTTGTTTGGCTGCTTTTTTTGCCAGTGACTCATCAAGACGGTTACCTTTCGATGTGGCGTGACCTTTGATCCATCTTAAGGTGACTACATTATTGATGGATACTTCGGCCAAAGCTTCGTAACATTTTAGTACTAATCCTGATTAAATTCGTGGTCTGTTCAGGGTGAGTAATGCTTATCTGCTATCTGTATAGATGAGCAGGTTCCTTTCAGTGACATTGTTTCTGGTGATTTCTTTTGCTGCTATCAGAATCTCTGTGAGCTCTGTTTGAACTACACTAGCACTACTACTCACAGCTCATTTTATGTTTAGGTTTAAAGATCTGGAGTATATTCCACATTCTGAGCCTTGTTTTAGAACCGTCCGTGTAGACATGAATCGTACCTGCCACTTCCGGCTCTTCTATTTGTTCTAATTTTATATGGCTTATGGAAGATATATCTCGGTGAGATGGAGTCCATGTTCACTTAAAATAGCGTGAGCGTATCGAGCGCCTCCTGCCAAAAGCGACGTCTCGCCTCACCAGATCCTACATCAGGTTCTATTCCAACCGTGTGGAGGCGTGTCATTGTCATTAGAGAAACCTCCTTGATGTAAATATCAAGGGAAGTGAAACTAAGAATGACTTCCATTTTCGGTGTTCTTTTCATGGCTCCTGTTATGTTGAGACATGCTGTTCTTTAAATTTGTTCTAGTTTACGGATACTTGTCAATTTTTTGATTTTCGGTACTTAGACAACTGTACCGTATGTTAGCATAGGTCTCATGATAGCCGTGTAGGTCCATGCGACGACTCTGCGAAAGAAACCCCTGGTGCGCCCCACGGTTCGGCGGTATTATTCACAAGCAATGTATGCTCTTTTGACTCTGTTTTTTAAATACGAGTTCCATGTTAACTTGCTGTCAAAGGTGATACCTAGGTACTACTCCTCTGTTGCAAAGTTTGGTTTTGTGTTTAGGAGTTCTGAAGGTTTTTATTACATTTTTATCCTTTTACTTGTGAAATGGCATGTTGCACATGTTAATTTATATGTACCAGATTGGTCTACTTATTTTTATTTCTGACAATAAACTTACTGATGGAATTAGAACTTCTGAATGTGATTTTAAAGTGATAAATACTTACGGATATCTAGTTCATTTAATGGTTATGAGTTTATAAGTAATTATTAAATTTTTTTTTACGATACATACTATGGATCAAGCTATGATTATAATTAGGGCTGTTGGCAATTTGTTTATTGATTCATTGATTTTGAATAATCTCATTCACATAAATTTCAACTTCCCCATCTTTTTATCCACTGCAATCTTTAACTATCACCATATTTCCATTTCCTGTAACAATTTTTTTCTTTTAATTGCCTAGTTCGAATATACTACAATACAATCGTAATTTTGTTGATGTTTTCATTCTGTTCAAAAATATTTTTTATTAAATTTTTAATAATTTATTTTTACCTCTATTTTAAAATAGTCTTACACCGGATCATCTATATCTACTATGGAAGATGGTAACCTGTCTAATATCAATAATACTATCTTACAAATAATTTTTTTTTTCTCAAAACATCTCTGATCCGACTAGTAAACTAATATTATGGTTATACGGTAATAATTATTAAAATAATGTGTTATCACTTATCACATATTGAGTGGTCGCAGATACAAAGCGTTGTGAAACCAAATAATATTTGGATCTGCGTTAGCACGAATACCCATTTAAACTAAATTCTACTTATCATGCAACGTACATTGTAACAATTATGTGGAAACGTTTGTAAAAGCTTTGGAAATGTTAAACATTAAACCTACAGATAAAAATACTTACTTCCATCCCTTCCTGTGTGTTAAGCGAAGAAGACAGACAAACAAAGCCGTGCAGAGTTTTAATTTAGAGTTTCAATTTTCAAAAAAAAATTATATTTAGAAATTTTCCTTTAAAGGTTGATTAGTATTGAACTGATTATGCGAATATGAGAATCGCGATCGTTAATTTTTAAAGTAGGTACAAGAATTTTATTTTTAAAAACCAGATGAAATGAAAACAATGTATCAAATAATAATTGTATGGCCTCATTGAGAACACTGAAGAGCAAACTGGTCTCGGTACTAAACCGTGACATCTGCCATCTAGTGGCGAATGTGTGGAGTTACAGATATGACTCTGAGATGAGGCATTCTTCAATTTTGTACATTTGTATTTATTTAACTCCTCGAGCATATTTGTGAAATATATATGCTCGAAGATTTAACTCAAAAACCAAGTTTTTCAAGTTTTAACTCTATTTGGTCGGATGTGCGATATTATCTAACTACTGAGACACTTTTATCAGTACTCAATCTTAGTAGATTTTGTGAACTGTCTTTTTTATCTCAAGGCAAGGTTACTGAGCGATGTAGCATGTCATTCTGATAAGAAGTCGCAATTTTAGTGGACCTGACCCAGGGACCAAGTGGTCCTTCGTGAACCAAAAAGAGCATCCTTGAATATTCTACTTCAGTCATACGTACCTATTTATTGAAATTGAATTAAAATTTTATATAGTATTTTGGATTTGAATACGATTATTAATTTTGTATACGATTGTTTTTTGATTCTATTAAATAAAAAGCGTGGCGTCAAAATCAGTTCAATGCTGGTAATTTTTGAAACGATTTGTGATTATTGAAAATTTCTCAACATTTTAGAAATAATTTTTCCCATCTTTTGTGAATTTCAACTTGAAAATTGCTAATATGAATAAATATATATTATGTTTCAACCATATAGGAATATTTAGGAGAGGCTTAGAATTAAATATTATTTGCTTTATTTTTATTAAAATCTTAAATAATTATTTTTTAATGATAAGAAAGTTGTATTAACCGGACACTCGCCATGAACATGAAACATGGAACATATTTATCATTTGTATCAGAAAATGTTTGAAAATAAGTCGAAAAGAAGCATATTAAACTATAGCTCTACATAACGTCAGCTGTAACCTTTCATACATCGCAATTATTATAAATATTGTTTGTCGACACCATATCAGGTGGTTATTCTACGCACATACTACAAACCGAAAAAGTAGGCCATTACGTTCAACTGAACGAATATATTTCATATTCATTATGCCTAGTAAGAATAATTCACGAATATGAAATCCAATTCATATTTAGGACAACCGGCTGTTATTGTTTTTTAAATTTTTTAAATAACAATTCTGTCAAACTAATTGTCAGTATATTTTTCTGTTATTGATATTAAATATACTTTGAAATGAGTTATTCTTGTGAAGAATCGATAAATAATAGCTTTTCACAAGATATTCTATATACTTATTTACAAATAAATCATAAAATATACTATACAATATACAACTCGAGTGGATAGTCCGTATCCCACTCAGGTGATTGAGCAATCCGTCTACAGCGTCGTGCTCAAACTTCGTCTTCGTGCCACATGGCCATCATATCCACTCTTGTTGCACACAATATCTTTAAAGTTTTGCATTTGGGTAAACTTGAAGATGCTTTGTAAAGAAGGCTATGAGTGTAAAGTTGAAAACAATTTTCTTCGGTTTCAAACTAGAAATATTCTGCTACAACTTTTGCCTAGGAAGTTTTATATCGTGTTAACTTAGCTTATTTTTTTACTAAATGCTCCATCTCTTGTATCTGCTACAGGACTTCTATTGACGTTCATTAAATGCCAAGACAAAGCTTGGCATTTGTTCAAACTCATACAGATTGGAATATGGACGACTGGCATTTTCTTTAAAAATGAGACAGTTGAGACATGCACCTGATGATTGACAAAGAGTGTGAAAAATGATATGCCCTTGTGCTTCTTTTCTAATTTACAGTCTGGTTGCGGTAGTGTAATTGAAGAACCTATTTTCCTCCAAGTTTATGGATGTATGAAGGGGGTATTTGAGTAGGTACATATGTGTGGCTTAATCAGAGTTGGGAAAAACCTAAGAATTAAAAAAACATAAAAAGTTTTTAGGTTATTTAGGTTTTTTGAGGTTTTATAAGTTAAACAAAAAATACAGGCAAAACTTAAAAAAAATAATTTTTTCTACGATCATTATCCAAAGTAGGCCTTGGCGCTTCGAAATTCAACCGCAAAGTTGACGTTTTTCTCGAACTGACATTAAGTGGCAGCTTTGTCGATGGCCGAGCGGAAAACTTGACAGCTTTGTCGCTCACCTAATTTAAATTAGATATAATATAATAGTATTTATTTTTAACAAACGATTTTGAAGTTATTTGTACCTAGTTTGATGTTTTTTCTTTTATTATCCAAGTTAACATTGACTTTGAATATCAACCTCTTTTTTCATGAATAACGTAGATATAGGCAACATTTTGAGCAAAAAGTTCGTTGTCGCTTTCGACAAATTGCCGCGTTCCGATACGCGTCACGCGGCAACTTTTTGTCTCAAGCGGCAAAGTATCGCATTTCGCTTTTAATACACAAATAGCTATTATATTAAAAAATATAAAAAAAAATAAATAAATGTTTTTTTTTTTAATTGTCACTACCATTAATATCAATATTAAGAAGATACAGTGATATAACGATTGATAAAACATTTGCATTTGTTTTCGTATATATTAATTTTTGCATCTTTTCTCCTGAAAGTTGATTAATAAAATTGTAAATTCTTAATTTTTATCTTAAAAAAACCTAAACCACCTAAAATTGTAGAATTTTCACTTTTAGGTTTTAAGCTATTGCATAGCTTTTATCGCGGGCTTTGAGCGCGGCGACCGAATCAAGAAATTCCGCAACGAACGTAACGAAAAAAACCTAACACTCCGACCGGCACAGCGGTGCGGCGTTAAACAATATTAAAAATCGAAAAATCAAAAAATCAAAAAATCGAAAAATCGTAAAATCGAAAAATCAAAAAATCGAAAAATCGAAAAATCGTAAAATCGTAAAATCGTAAAATCGTAAAATCGAAAAATCGAAAAATCGAAAAAGAAATTCCGTATCGAAAATAAACCTAACACCCCCCACTTCGACCGGCACAGCGGTGCGGCGTTGAAAGCCTTGCATCGTCTAATGTCGTTTTAGTTCGGCAGACTTCGGCACGGTGTTTGTGTGCGTGCTACTAGACGTATGCGTGTAGACTAGCTGCTAACTGCTCGTAACTGATTCTATCTCTTTTAGACACAATTTCGGAAAAATTGAATTTGAAAATGAATAATGATCCACAAGAATCCACAACAAAATATGGGACCACCATTGACGCGGTATTTTCCAGATATTTAGAGGATATCAAGTCTCAAACTTATGTTTCTTATTTCAGTTACCATAAACCTATAGTTTCAATGATAAAAATTCCTGAATAACCTACATGTATTGTAAGATAATAAAAATATTTTAAACAATATTAACTTCTCATTTATTCAATAAAAGAAAACAATTTGTTTTCTTATCGGTCATCACGCTCAAAAAGTGTAACTTGAATTAATATCAAAGAAAAAACTTGAATTAATATCAAAGAAAAAAAAATACTGCATAAATAAATAATTATAATTGCATAAGTTGATAAAAAATGCTATGCAATAGCTTTACCGCGGCAGTCTCCGAGTGCCACCCGTATTTTTTTTAAAAACCTAAAAAACCAAGGTGCAAAAAAACTGTACCTGCTAACCCTGGTCTTAATATCTTTAAGAGCATATTTTTGAATCATCTTTTACTTATCGGTGTTTTAATCAGATTGATAATAATTGTTTCTTGTGTCTATTAAAATTGCTTTGATATCCATCTCAATTTTGCCTACATTATATGAATAGTTCGGTGATAAAATATTACTAATTCGGGTTTATCTCCTAAATTCTCTAAATAGAGAATTCCATCCTTCCATTCCTAATTCTCACCCTTTAAAACCATATAATATTAATTTTCATTAGTTTTAATTCCTAATGACGTCTTTTACTCGAAACTGGTTCCAGACCTTTATTCATATTTGAATAAATATTGCATGTGGTACATGATTTTGAGCGTTTCATTTTGTGAAGATATTTTTTTGTTTATTTATTGTACAATAATACTTGTTTGACCGCACATTAGTGGCAATTCTGTAATTCAATACGTTTATTTTAAACGGGTGTTAAATTTTACGATTTAAACATAAATTTTCTGTAAAAATAAAATTAACGCATACGTTAAATTAAAAAAAAAAAAAATAAACATACGTTGAAAGTAGTTCAAATTTGCAATAAAAGTTTGGTTAAGTTTTAAGGTCTGTCAAATAAATGACATTCCTTTTGTCATATTTATTGTATCTGTCTGTTTTTGTACAAGAATATTGAGAAAAGTAGCGGCCGAATGTACTTTATAAACTATTTGGTAGGGCATAAATTTTCAATACAAATAAAACTAACCCCAGTAACATTATACGGCAAATCAATTAATAACTACAAAAAGTTTATATACACTATAAATTAAATATAATTTCTAAATAGAATTTGTGTAATTATGCTTCACATCCTTGTTAGTGGAAATAAAGATAACCATATGGTATACCTATGTTACACCGCTGACCCACATGTTTAGATTTAAAATTTTACGTCACTCTCTATCGCTGCCTGTGTACATTACTCATTACCAATTGTTGTGTCGCCTGATTCACATTGCAACACCGGCCACACTCCAGCGATAATAAAAAACATGGGCAAAAACTATCGAAAATCGTATTAGAAATACAATAAATTAAAAAAGAAATGAAGGAATTCAGAGCACAGGGAGGAGAATAATGTTTTTATTTTTATTTAACTGATTTTTAGTTTGCAGAAGATACTACTTTATGTGTAAATTTCTGCTTTTATACGACAAAAAAA